ATAAGAGAAAACGTTTCGGAGTCCAGCTCCATCGTCAGTTCAAAACCTAGAACACAGGTACAATACATGTAGAGAAAGTACTATCTATTTACAATTTGTAGAGGATAGGAACTGAATGCAGCATTTAAACTGGGTTTCTGTTTAAAAATATATATTGATTCTAAAATTCGTAGGTCAGAAACACCGGTTGTGGAGGCTAAAACTCTAAAATCACTATTGGACACCGGGACGTTGCACTGCTCGGCATGAATACGTACGGCTGAATGAGGGGGATGAAACAATAGTGCAAGTTATGAGTATTCCCGGCGATTTCAATGTTGTAATAAGAAAATCTGAAAAAATATTCCGCTCGCATATGCGTATAGTCTAAATATATGATACTGCAACTGCAGCTTAACAAATAAGGCTAACAATTGGATCGTTGGGAGCGCATGTGATGGAACAAAATAATAGTTACCCGAGTTATCTGCAGATGAATTATTGACTTCTCCTGAAGAATATATGATGTTCTTCGCCGCCAGGGCCTGCCCTTTACGGCAATACTGTGGAAAAAACTTAATAATATAAGTACAGCTATTACGAAAAAAGAGACAACGATCAACAAAGAAATAACAACCGAGTTCGTTTCACCCGCAACTGTCTCTTCCTTCTGGCTTGACTGCTTTCTCTTTCTGTTGTGGCATCAGGTGGAGCTGACGGCTTAGATTTTTTTATTTTCTGATTCTTCGTTCGTAATTTGGTCTGTTCAAAAATCTTTTATTATTTAAACACTTTCTGATCCAAAAACATCAACCACCTGTAAAAATTGGGAGCCCCGATCATGTACTACGAATAATTTGAAGAAGTTGATGAATATTAAGCCAGAAAACTAATCTCTGCAAGTTAATACTTCTTATGAATGATATTTATTGATGATTAATGAAGTATTACTCAAACTTTTATTCGAAATTAAAAATGTATTTACTGGTCTATTATGTTAGTGAACATATTTTTAAATACACAGGAAACATGGGATAAAACCTTTATACACCTTTACCGCAATGCGATACTCGTGTCCAGGTCGCAGGGTTAACGGTGTAGCTAAGGAGTTTTGCAGGCAGGATGTATGTGGCGGCAGAATGAATATAAAGTTGAACCTCAGCTCCTTCGAGCTAATCTCTTTCCCTTTCGTTGTTTCAGGACGATTAAGTCTCAACCAGCGTCTGTGTGTAGTTACCCACATCAGCATTGCCAAAATGTTGCCAGGCAACAGTCATGCAGGGAAGAGCTGGTGCTTTCTGTGACCTCTATAAATTCGAGGAGCCACCGTAGCTTTAAGGAAAATAGAATGAATAAAAGCCCGAAAAAGAAAAAAGAAGGAACGACCAAAAAATGAGCAAAGCAAGGTTCTCAAATGGATTTATTCCCAATATTTGAGATAAAATTAGTTGGGCATTGATAACCGAAACGTAATAAAATGATCAGATCTTAAAGTTATTAGAGAACTTTGTGTTAAATCTTGCATGGGCGCGGGGTTCTGGCGCGAGTCGTCAGGCTCTTTTCTGCTCCAATCACGGCGGTGATGGGAATTTCATATAACAGTTATCCTCTGCATTGGTCAGGCGGTGAGTCAAATTTTAGATCACAAAGTTTCTAAGTTTTTTAGCCTGGGCAAAGTCGTTCAGGTCAAGGCGTTCATAGGAAATGCTAAAATTAGCGAAAGGACAATTTGGTAGAGGATAATACCATCACTCTGATATTGCCTGACTTTCTTCGATCTTCACGTCAACGCCTGTAGGGCGGCGTCCGCCTCAATTGTTAGAGAGTATGTGACCAATTCGCTGTAAATTAATCGGATAAGCTACGGAAATCGAAGTTATCTGCAAAAAATTGTTCGTCACATATCACTTTTAAAGATTACGTAGAATTTTTTCTATAATTTAATTATTTGTTTTTAGGGTTCACGAACGATTAAATTCTTTAAATTCTCCAGACGACATTAGAACAGCTGCACGATGTCCAAATTCAATAAATAAAAGAAAATTTCATTATAGTTATTGTATAAGGATATATCAATGTTTACGTTTAATATTCTAACCGTTGATGACAACTAATGCGTGGTAGCGACGGCGCATGCCAAATGCGTTTGCATGTCGCTCAGAGGCTGAGAGATTCTTAGTCTGTCTGTATTTGTCGGCATCCGGTGGCACGGATGTGCTGCGGTGACGATCAGGTTCCGAATGATGGCACCTGATGAGACTGCGGCGAAAGGTGCTATTCCGACAATGACGACTCTAAACGGTATTGACGTTCTCGGTAATTTTTATACGGCTGAGTATGCCGATGTTGTCTCTACCTTGACGCTTACACGTCTGGCTTCTTCGCCTGCTCTCAGAATCGCCATTAAAATAAAGAGACACTACTGGAATCGTAATATTATTTTGTAGAAGGTGCTGGACGATAATACTAGAATTTTTTAAGGGAAAAATCTGCATATATTTTTTGTATGGCGCTCCTGAGTTTAGTGTGGAGCTCCACTCGCGGGGTTATAACAATCGCAATCAGTATTTTATAATGTCATCATCGGTGTGAATCTAAATGCAATCAATTTAGCGTTAGCTCACTTCACAGTCACGCATTGCCACTACGGAACAAAGAAATATTGAAAGCAAATAAGAATCATCATCCCTTGTGTCAGATATATAATTAACAGGTTCACGTGATGACGACCAATATAAATACTGGCCATAATTACTCCCGTGTCATGTAAAAATGCCTCTTAAAATTAATAACAAAAAATTATCAATTGTGTGCATTGTTGACGGTCGTATTTCCTTAGTTGTTGAATTATCCAGAGTTTTTTTATATGGTAGATCTCCGAAAAGACACTCATCACATAAGATTGTCTATCTTCCACTACTCTCAGATACATATGCTCATATACATTGGTTAGACAAAATAAAAGAAACACCTGAGAAATCCACAAAATATATTTTAGTGTGATGTTGGTCCACCGTTTGCAGCAATATAAAAAACTCCTTCCATCTCTTTTAAAGACCATGGTGGCTGAAATTGACTTCTGATTTACATCTCAAAAATCGGCCTCAAATGTTCAAAAATATTCAAGTCTGGTGATTGTGATGGCCAAATGAGATGCTTAACTTCAATAGAATGCTCCTCGTGTCATTTTTTGACAATTCAAGCTGTATGGATCGGGGCATTATCATCTTGCAAGATGGCATCCCCTCCGGAAATAGTGCTTGCACCATTAGATGAACATGGTCCTCCAAAAGTCCCAAATAGTCATGGCTGTTGCATCTTCCATGAAGATAAATAATTGATCGGCCGGATTTCCAAGAAATAGAACCCTAGATCATCACAGATCCCCCGTCATATTTAGCGGTTGAGAGGAGGCAGTTGTGGTTAAATGACTCTTTTGGCTGTCTCCTAACTCGGTCAGATATTGGAAGTAAGGTAAACGATCGATGATTCGTCGCAGAAAAGCACATTTCTCCACTATTCGATGAACCAATTCTGGAGGTTTTACACCACTCTAAGGGCTTTCAGCATTTGTATTTGAAACCAGAGGTTTTCTCATTGCAGATTTTCCATAGAATCCAGATCTGTGCAGCTTTCGGCGGAAAGTCTTTAATGGAAACTGGGTTCTGCCGGTGTACATTGAGGTCTGCAGAAATTTTACAGCGTTGTTTTTCGATTGTCCCTCACAATTCGCAATCGGTAACGACGGTCTCTCTCATGCAGACTACTTTGACTTTCGGCCAGTCCTCTCTTTGCAGAGGACGTTTCTCCTTTTCTATTAAAACAGTCATTATTTTTTAGTACCTCCAGAAACGTCGAAAATTGGGGAAGTTCCTGGCACAATAGCACCTGCCAAACGGGCACAACAATTTGGCCTCTTTTAAAGTCAGAGAGGTTTGTCATTTATAGGTTATATGATAGGTTATGAAAACAAAAATTTACTAAAAATATCTGTGCAATGATAAAATATCAATTAGTAGTAACAATAAAACATTAAAAAATTTACGTATTCATTGTTTATAACATGTTCAAAAATTACGATATCAAAATGTTTAGTGTTTCCCTTATTTGTCCAAACTCTGTATAGCCCACACAGTATTTCATTTCGAGTGGGGCTTAAATTTTACGTTTTTTGAGCTCAATCATCTAAGAAACGTGGAATTTGTTCCAGGTCATGTACTAATTCTAATGATTTATATGAAACAATGTTTTAATTAATGTATTGTAAAATAATAAAATTAATCACTATCAATCATTATTTTAATTCAAGCAATTGCGATTAAAAGTACTTGAAAAATATACATTTTTCATTCAATTTCCCCGTTTGTTCAGGCCTCGTTGGCATTCTCCCTAATTATTTGTTTAAGACCCGTTACGTTATTGGTCCTCTGCCCGTTACGATATTGGTCCTCTGCCCGTTACGATATTGGTTCTAGTGTTTTTTCGGTTAATACGTGGTAGTGGTCGCTTCTTCATAGATGGAGGTAATTGAGACCTATGGAGTCCCCTTGTTTGACCAGTTGTAATTATTAGAGAGGAAGTTGAGTGGGGAATCTCTGCAGCAAGCGCTGGGCGCGCAGCTTCTTCGCGGATGGATTCATTGGTGCTGCGTTCATTATTTTGGCTGACAGTTTGTTGAAATGCAGAAATAACTGGAGACATCTCATAACAATCTAGCACTGCCTTGGATGGTTTAGTGAAGACCCTCGCATTATGTTCAACAATAGATGTTGACACATGAGCCGACGCTTGGTATGGGCTCCTCTGAACTGAAACAGAATTTTGCGGCTGTACAGATTCGCATCTCCCAGGCATAACATTGCCACCAGGTTCGTCTTGAATTTGAGCAAGTGATTCTTGGATCAGTAGTGGCCTTGCCTCATCAATGGTTTCCCCAGTTCTGCTACTGGCAATCAGTTCCCCAGAGTACGTGTTTTGGTATCCGTCATCAATGGAAGCCATACTGAGCTGTGATTGGAGATCATCACACACTGTTAGGTCGAACGCAATTCCTGAAATGACGAGAAATGTAAATTTTACTGCATGATCTTTCGAAAGTATTTAACGATGTCAACCAAAGGTACATTGAATGAATAAGTTACAGAGAGTTCAAGATTATCTCAAAATCCTTCTATTGGTCCCAATAACTTGCTCAAAATTTACAAAATATTTCGCCGACTCGAAATCTCGTTTAGAAATTACCCGAACCTTCAGGCGTTGAAGAAACTATCGCAATTCTCTCTTATTCGCGAGTAACACGTTAATTAGTGGGTATTGTAAAATCAAGTATTGAGTCACCCACCTCGAGTTGTACTGACTGCAAGCTTGAGATAATAAATGAAAGCCATGACCAGATTTTCCGCCTTTTCCTGTGAAGGATTACCCAAATTTAAGATTTAAGAATTTGGCATGACAACGAATCAAAATTTACGAAATGAAACAAATAAATTTTGCAGTTTTCATTTAATTTTTCGTATATGTAAGTAACATTTTTTCTATACCTCAAATCTGGAATAAGAAGTTCAGTTAAAACACTGTAATTTCACATGATTTTCATTGAAAGTTACGAGAAAAAATGACAGCTGTGAATGTTGATTCACATCTTCATCATCATGTTGATTCACATTTGATTTATATCATTTACTCACAAGTGAATCCACCATGTGTGCTCTGTTCCGGCGCAGGTTCAAAATCACTTCCATCACATCAACTTCTTCATAGGAAAACTCAGTCTTTAGTTGCAGGTTCCACAGCCCGAATAAAACTGCCGTCCGTCCACTACCATTACTGCTCGCAGATCACAGGATTTTATTTTTGCGATTTTCAATTTCTCTTATCGCCTGACAGATCAAAAAAGAAGCAAAAGCCTCATTCAAGCCTGACACATCAATTGAACAATCTTTTAATTGTGTATGATTGAAACTATAATAGAGGCCTAAAAATAGAAACTTATTGTCAAACTATAGGTTCCGGTGCAAGGGTCTTCTGAATTCTGTCACAAAATACTCACCTGCAGTGGGCAATCACGTTACTCGGTCCCTCTGGCAGGCATTGACGAACTTTATGAAGAAAACCAACGAAGTCAGAAGGCCTGAAGCTTGAGTCATCTGTCCATTTGGTGAGCTGAATTTGTCGCACGTCGCGCTTGCTTTCGCCCTGGGGTTAAACATGAAAAACATTTTCAATGAGCCGATCAACTTCGCCAACCTGCAACTGAATTTTGGGGTACTCGTAACGACCAATAACCAGGAATTACGGAAACAAATTTAGGTTGTCGTAAAAATTGTTTACCTATATCTACAAGTGATCAGCAGGATTCAACAGGATTTATTTTCAATGACTATCATTCAATTCGCCAAAGGAACTGTGATAGAAGATAATGCAATTAAAGATTTCATGAAAACTTGATAACATATGAAATTAAAAATTTAGAGAGTTATTGGTTTCGTTACTGTTCTATTTTAAAAATCAATTAAAATTTTATATTGTGGTAATAATTCAAATTCTGAGTTATCCATTAAAACACAATCCATTCTACGTCATTATCCAAGTTACATAATTCAATAGACGAATGAAAAATATTCTTCCAAAAATGTATCTAATGTCTTATCTTTCTGACTGTCATCTGTTCTTCATTTTTATCACTGTTATATGCATGGCGTTCAAATTCTTGAAATTATTTTCTCGTTCATACTCATATTTTTCATAGATCGGCTATAAACACTGAACAATTGCGACGATTTTTTTGTTGACCTCACTACCCGGACTCTAAAAAAGCGTATGATAAAAACCTGGAACTGTTATTGACCTTATGTGCGAAAATCTAAAAAACGTGAATTAACTAAACTCATTGTAGGTAGGGTTTTGACAAATGTTTACAATTAGTATTGCTCACTAACAGTACCGTTGAACAAAATAATACCATTGTAAAAGACAGAAATCTTTTGTAATTTTCATGTATTTTGAGGCGGTAATACTTGTTACAAAATGGTTTATTATTCTAAATTTTATTTGTAATTTTGCTTTAGAGTTCGCCGGAAGAAATGTACGGAATGCCAAGTTTCGTTGATTATTGTTGCTTGGAAAGCCGGAGCCAAGGTGGGTGCTATGTTAGGATGTTAATATGTGAATATATAAGTGAATAGATATGATGTGGACAAATTGTGTGAATATTTAGCTTATATATTTATGAATACGTTTAATTTAAGCGTACCATTATTTATCTATTTCAATTGTTTCTTTTAGGAGAGCCGCAAGTCAAGAGTTAGTCTCAAATCTCAGCTGTTAACTTGAATTGAACGTGCTAATATTATTCTTTGGTTATTATTCAATGTGTTCATTTTAAAAAGTGGTGAAATAAAGTGTTTTAACTATGATTTACCAGTGAATTAAAGCAATGCTATCACGAAGGCTAATTGGGTTTGGGAGCCCGAACGCCATAAGCATCCCTCCGAGAACTCACGTCTGAGAGCTCCAAGTCTCTGGAGATGAAGAACTCTGCCCTCAGCCTCCTGATGAGCTTCACTTGAATGGGGGGACAGTACACGGACTTGGTTTTGGACCGCGGCCAGTATGGGCGCCATTCCTGCGTGGACTTGGGAAATAAGCAAAGAGAATCGCTCATCGCCAGGCAACGCTATTCAATGACTTTGTCCATTACTTGACTGAGAAGAACGCTCGCGAGCGGGACGCAAAATTGAATAAATCGAGTTCCTTGGGAAAAGTGCTGCAAAAAAAGACCACAGGCCGAGAAATTAATTTTTAACTCAAAATATTCCGAATTCTATTCATCGATTGTGGAAATGTGAAACCAAGTTTCTTTATAGTTTATTATATAATGTTAATTTGTGTATACTCTATGCTATATATCAAGTGTCATCAGCATTGTCCTTAATACAAATACAAGTAATTTTCACAGAGGTGATTTTTCATGCTCGTTTGGTCACTATTCCTGTATGACTTCCCCATTGTTGAATAATCGGAAGAGAACTTATTAGTATTTAATAATATTTTTAATATAAGTTTTCTTTATTCAGCCTGGCGATTCAATAATCGACTCATGATTCCATCAATTTTCTAAAAAATAAACTACTATTATTAAATTTTGCTAATCGACATCGCACGAATTTGACGGTAAAATTCCAACGACCGAAATGTTTGCGGTTCTCTGTGATAATACCGATTTAGTTGGTTAATTCAATCAAACTTAATGTGAACTTTGGATCAGCTATCACTTGCATTAAAAATTCAAAATTCTCATCATATATTCATCTTCATGTGCGTATGTGACGTTTCCCTGTCTAAATTGTAACCCACATATAAGATCAGCATTTATGTCACCTGGAAACTTCTTATTTAATTTTACATATCATTCATTAGGCAGGAAGTTTTATTTTTAGTCTGGATAGTTTCTGAAGTTAAATTGTCGCGTCTTGATGTCAACAAATTTCAATATCAAGTTTTAGAAGTGACAAATGGGAAATGTTCTCGGTTCATCGATCACCCATTTCGTTATTAAACCATTTATTCTTTAAATTAACTCACGTAACAGCCTGTTGAACATTTTAACTGTTGTGAAAAATGAAATAGGCTGACTGGATCACTTCTACGGACTTGTGTTAACTAGACCACTGACCTCATAGATTCCACTCACCTAGAATAAGACCATTTTTATACTGAAATTTTGAACTCTGACCAATCATTCGAGAGAAATTCAATATTATCGTTCAAAATAATTTTGGAGCAGCTATCACTTCATTCGTGTTCTCTTTCACTAATAACGTTTTTCTTTTGAGTTGAAAATTCATGATAAACTATCCAACCTAATTTTTAGCAGACTCTTTAGAACCAACACTCGAATGCAATATTCATTAGTCTTTAAGAAAATGCAGCTTACAAGCTGAACATTGGTCAATACTACTTTGGAGCTACCATTGAATCGTCGTAGTGGTCCAGTGCAGCGATGACGTGCACTTTCTGCTGCCAGACCATCAGCCAGAAGTCGGCCACGGTGTCTTCCAGGGGAGACTGAGTCGCTATGAACTTGATGTCCGCTCTGCAGCTCTGAGGGTAGGAATGCGTCAACATAGGGATGAACTTGATGTCCGCTCTGCAGCTCTGAGGTTAGGAATGCGTCAACATAGGGATGAAGTTGATGTCCGCTCTGCAGCTCTGAGGGTAGGAATGCGTCAACATAGGGATGAACTTGATGTCCGTTCTGCAGCTCTGAGGGCAGTAATTTTTTACGACAGATATTGCAACTGTTATGATAAGATGTGCTTCAGGCTTGAGAAATAGTTACATAGTTACAAGTTCCAGTAGCTCAACTATAGCGAAAATTGTTGGAAATAAATTTTTATGTTCCGATTCCAATAATTAAAAAAATGGGCAAATTTTCAGATAATAAGTTTACGGTTTTCAGAGGAAAATATAGCTGTTTTTGATCTAAAGGTCATAAACATTCAACTTTGAGTGATCACAAGTCCTTCTGTAAAAAAGGTATGCATCGTCCAGTGGTCTCCATCAGGATTATATCTAAACTTACTTGAATAAAACTCGCGTTTATGTAGCCATCGGAGCCGTCAGAATCTTCCAAACGCACTCTCGTCCTGTTGACTAGCGAAGAAACAACACAACTATAGAAATAAGCTAGGCTGGATGTCTCAATTGCTGTCACATGAACTTGGTGCATTTAAAGTTTGAAGGATTTTCCTAGGAACAGTTTAGTTATAACTTGTAAATTTTGTGTTTTATATCATAATTTGAAGGAAGATGAAATCATAATAATCAAATGATAAGAAAATGAGCTTTCTGTCCGTTAAGTTGGGAAAGTTGGGTACAGTGGATTGTGGCACAGTGGAACAGGACAAAGGCGGCGCATCAGCGTTACCGGTGACCAGGGACTTGGTGACCAGGAAGTCCCAAACTCATCATAAGATCATAAGGACACGTCAATTTATTTATATATTAAAAAACAATATTTAACAACTGTACAAAGTAGCAATAGCACACAAGTAAGTGCATTGATTGATGTAGCGAAGAGACATGTTGCTCTGTTATGCATTTCTCAGTACGCAATATATTGTTTGAAGGGGAGCCATCTACATACTTGTCTTCATGAATTAAATGTAATAAAAGGCTCGATTTTGCAGACTGGAGCTTTATGTATGATTAATTGTTAAATAATACGCTCAAAATTAGTTGCTTAAGACAGATAGTAACTTGGTTCATTAGTATGAAAATACTCGTCAAATGTTTCCAAAATAGTGGTATGGGGAACAATGGAACAGTTTGTTTGGGGCAAACGCGGGGACAATGTCCGCGTCCCGGGAACTTCCAATTTTTCAAGGCCAGACCTTCCAATAAAAAAATTGACCATTTGTCGCCAAATATTAATCGAAAAAATAACAGACTCTTACTCATCTTTATCAGAGGAAAAAATTCCGCATCTTACATTATCCATCTATGTAATAGGCGAATAATTACTGATGGAAAAAAGTTATAAATATTTTGAACCATTTCATAGAAAACCAAAGCTTCATGATAACGTTGTTGTGGAATTTTGAATCACGGAGCCAAAAAGATGGTAGGCTTAATGATTCAAAAAGATGGTAGGCCTTGGCAGGCTTAATAACAAAGCCAAAAGACGAAAATGTTGAATGAAATATCTTACTTTGGTCATGGTGAGAAATAGGAACGTTTTTATATCTTGCTGCAGCTACCTTGTATCAGTCAAAATGAGAAACCTTTATGTCTTTCATAGCAACAGTATTGAATGTAGAACAAGAAAAAGACAAAACTCTAACCTGAACCTTTTAGCACCATTTTGAGAGGTCGTGTTTGCTTGGCTGCAGCCGACGTTTTCGATCCATCTCACCATTTTCACTTTTAGGGTAAAAATTTCTCGACGGCTCGATTTTGCTTGGCCCCAGCAAGCAACTCACGCCCTCCAGAAATCGACACCCAAATCCAAAATTTTGGGGGTTTTGACTTTAATTGTGATAAGTTATATCATAATTGTTATGTGTCCCAATGGACCCCATGGACTGTCCCACAGTGGCCCGTGTCAAGGACTTTTTAAGGGGACCGGCTAACCTCCGGAAAAACTTCTAGTTATTATCCGATCATCATGAAACTTCACATACATACGTAAAATGTAAAAACAATAAAATTTTGCCCCTATGAATTTTTTGGAAAAATTGATAGAAAACGTGAAATTCATAGAAAACTGCTAAAAAGGGGTACTTTAGAAAATCTATCTCTTCCTACAAATATCATCCTACAACATCGAGACACGTATCATTCGATTCGTAAAGACCATACCTATCGACTAGCTGATCATTTTTTTCATTTTCCCCATAGTTTTTTTATGCGCGTTTTTCCCATTTTTCTCATTTTTTTCTCATTTTCCCCCCTCCCCCCCCCTTCTCCCCCATATATAAGACGAACCATACACAAATTCAAAAAAATGATCAGTTAGTTTATAGGTATGGTCTTTACGAATCGAATGGTATATGTCTCATTGCTGTAGCTTTAAAACTGTAGGAGGAGATAGGTTTACCGTGAGAGCAATAGGAGGTTTTCACCACGCCCAAAAAACTGCCGCGCGGCACGTAAAATGACGTAAAACAGTCGTAACGTAGCCTAGATACCGTAACTAAGCCTCAAACCAAGTCAGGGAGGCATAAAGCGACTGGCTGCATACCTCTCACCTTGCTGTCATGACGGGCACTGAGTGTGTTGGCCGCTATACGCGATATTTGTAGTGCTACTCTCGAATTATCTCCCATTCAAATAGTGAAGGCTGCCCCCCACCGCCCCCCATTCTGCGACGCGTCCTGTGCCTCAAAATGCAGGTAGAGAGATGGTTCTGGTACCGTTCGACGCGTCAGAAAGTAAGCCTTAAGATTGGTATAAGCACCAGATAATGCCATAATTGGCCGCTTTACGTCAGACGTTCCTTTTAGTGTGTCCAGCCTTCGAATTAATCCCATAGACTTTACTGGAGGGCCCTCAAAACCGCCCCCCTTCAGGGAGCTGTCACGAAATCATTTTTTGACGTAGAGAGATGATTCTGGTACCGTTCGATGCGTCAGAAAGTAAGCTTTAAGATGAGCACAAAAACAGGAAAACCCCAAAATTAAAAATTTAGAGGTAGCCGGTCCCCTTAAATAATATTTTGTATTTTTTCATTTCTAGACAGAAGAACAGTTCTAATGCAACCAAGGATGTGATGCGTAGTTTTATTCATTATTTCGTATTTAAAAAGAGAAAAATAATTATGTGATTTTGCATTTATTTTTTTGACCCATTGTACCCCACTTTCCCTTACAAAGCAGGACTAAAGTAATTTTCAAGAGGTCAATCATAAATTCATTTTCTGCACGAAGGTATAGAGGAAAATTTCTACACAAAGGGAAACGTGTCTATGAAATTTGCAATGAAATCTCAATGGAAATGATGGGAATGTCGGACAAAATGCAGTTGATTATCATTTCAATATTAAATTTTATTCTACCTAGAATCATAGGATCCATTATTTTGAGGCACGTTGTGCAAAAATGATTTTAGAAATTATACGCAATCCAAATAGAGCAGCAAACCTTGAGTCTCAGCAAACCAAATTTCGAGAATCATGTAATGTTTTTGTGCCATTATTTAGAGGCAAAAGGCAGGACACTGCTTTATGTAAAATCATCTACATAGCTGCGAAAAATCTGTATTATTAATTATTTACTAGAAACCTAGAAGCAAAGAAAATTTCATAAAAATTCATATTACTTTCATAGAAAAAGTATGAAAGTCCAGCTCCATCGTCAGTTCAAAAATTCTAGAACGCAGATAAATCAGTAATTAGTACAGTCAAGATTAAAAAAAATAACGGGAAATCTACCCTTTTACAATTTCCAATTTCCAGTGGGTAAAAACTAAAAGCTAAATTTAAATGAGGCCTCTGCTTAAAAATATACAATAATTCTAGAAATGCGCAAATCTAAAACACCTAAACTGGAAGCTAAAACCTTGCAATCACCATCAGAAATTAGGACGTCGTATTGCTCGGCGTGATTACGCACAGCTGAATGAAGGAGGCGCAATATTGAGCGACCAGTTCTACAATTCCTCCCTTTATGGTAATTGTGCGACCCTAGAATAAAAAAATTACGGGTCGTTATCCTGACGTTCGCAGCTGCACAACGTGCGCAACTGTATTTATAAAATATGGACACTCGCATATGAATAGGGAGGATCTCTTTGAACCTCAAAAAAGAATCAATTATGAAGTTGCTCACCAATAAACCACGAATATTAACATTTGGGAAGTATCCTGAGAACACAAGTTTTGGCTCCCCTGACGTAGTTTAAGCATAGCATAGTAAAGACACAAAGATTTCCTCCTTATTCATATGCGAGCGTCTCTTGTTTATAAATACAGTTATGCACGATGTGCATTTCCTTACGTCGGGATGGCGTCTAGCAATCTTTATTCTAGGGTCGCACAACATAAAGGGAGGAGTTGTAGAACTATCGTCACTTACTATCGCGCCCCCCCTCATTCGGCTGTGAGTACTCACGCCGAGAAGTGCGGTGTCCAAATTTCTGATAATGACTCCGAGGGTTTAGCTTCCACTTCAGGTGTTTCCGATTTACGTATTTTGGAATCACTGTGTATTTATAAACAGTGGCATAGTTTAATGCTAGCTCTTACTCACACTATTAGCTCTTACCCACTTGAAATTATAAATAAATAGGTTGTACTGTTTAGGTTTTGTTTTTGTAATCTTGACTGTACAAATTACTGATTTATCTGTCTTCTAGAATTTTGAACGATGGAGCTGGACTCCGAAACGTTTCCTTTAAAGAGAGTATGATTTTTGTGGAATTTTCTCTGCTTTTAAGTTTCTAGTGAATTTGCAAATCAAGCTAACGAGTGACATTATTACAAAAATTATTCAAATATCTCCATGGCCAATTAACCGTCGAAGTTTTTGTCATGGCTGATCAGGCATGATTTCATTTTATTTAAACGTTATTGCTTCTTCTGCAGCAATAACGTTCTTCAATTTGCTTCTGGAAAAATAGCATCGTGCGAGAAATAGATTTTTTCACACACGATATGAATTTTAACTGTGTATATGGATTATTCTTAGAGCAAAAACAAAAAAATTATAATTTTGTTGACCAATGTATATTCGGTCAATTTTCATTTGAAATATTATACATAGAAACAATGGTATTTGAGAAGTTATGTGCCTCTCACAAAACCCACTTCCCAGTCAAATTTTAGATTACATGCACGGTCACCCCGGACTCCATCGACTCGATTTAGAGGGGAATCTGGTGCCAATCGGCCATCTGCCCTATTAGGCTGGAAATTAGGAGCTTATTGCGGGAGTCGATTGCACGATGGGCCGAATCTGCGTGATATAACCAAAAGTGCAGGTAGTCAGGCTGTCTCATATCAGACGCTGGTATTTAAGTGAACCTTTATCATCACCCGCTCATTGAAGAGCGTCGATGTATGTACACGCGTACGTTTCTTTAAGGCATACGATGGACGAAATGAGTATTGACTTTTCTGATTTTTTGAACTTACGTAGACGTAGTAGTTAGATAAT